GTGTGTATGTGTGTGTATGTGGCGGTGCTTGTAATTTGTGAACATGTTGCTTTATCCACATGTTGCCTTCATGCTGGCTTCATGCGTCTGTTCTGAATTACACTCTCCCCCAGTGTTGACTTAATTTGACCTTGTTCTGTGGATGTTAAACAAAACCAGATGCTGAAGACATCTTCCTCTTTCCGTGATGGTCCAGTTTACATGCTCTTTAAAAGTGTTGGGCAGGATGTTGTACGGGCAGTCTGACCCGTACGCAGCTGCTACAGCAGTTCTAGCTTGGATTAGATTAGTTTAGCTCCCAAATTGGGTTTCTTGGCAGTGAGATTTAAAGTCTTTAATTGTACTATTACTTCATAAAATTAATAGTAAGACTTATTGGGACTTTTTGACAATGCATTTAAACAATTATTTGTCCTTTTCGGCATATTTATTGGATATGATTTTTATATTTTATGATGCATTCAAGAAGAAAATTATAATTTAAAACTTAAATCAGCTAAATGCTTCAGAAATATTTAGATTTTTTATTGTATCCATTCTCAAGGTCTCTGTTTGCTAATGATTACCTGTTGTTTAACCACTCTTCTTTTCAAAATCAGGTGAGTTGATTTAAATGAATTGTCTCCTGTCTGAGTCCTAACTAAACCTAGTCTGGAGGTTTATGAACAAGATTTACATCAAATCTCAACTTCGGGATACCCATCTTTTGCAGATTTTTAACTGAATGCAGAATAGTCAAGTGGAGCCTTTAAAACCCAGGAACCCTTCACCAAATGAGAAGCATGGTAGTGGTACTGTCATGCTGTAGGCTTCTTATCTTGCCAGGGTACGGGCAGGGTCAGACTGGGAAAGATTTTCGGCCCTGGCATGTTTCCATCTACACCAGCCTACTACAACCCCCCAAAAATATAGAAGCACAGTCAAACTCATGCATCTCAAAAACAAAATTCGTATTCGTATTCACACAATACGAATAGACATTGTGGATTAACCGATCTATCTTCAAGCATCACACAACAACCATCACCAAGACTTCTATAATGCGGTTTTACTGGCTTTGGTTATTAACATGGACGCAACAGTAACTGCTGCTGCGTAACGTCCACATCAGCATGAAGCCAGCCAGACACCCACTCACACATACTAGGTCTACAACGTAAGCTTGAGTGTTGTAAAAACACCAACATAAAACAATAGAATATAGAGGCAGACAGGCAGTTCTTCAAGAATCAGTACATGAAAGCTCAGCGGTGTGTAAGCATTAAATCCCAGTCTAGGTGGCATGTGGGCAATGGAATAATGAATAATGTAAACAGATGAATAACCCCATCATGCACCGCGACATATTTTTGCAAAATATTCAAACATAAATTCGTCAAACATAAGAGGAACATCGTAGTTTGGTTTAAAGGAAGCATTTCAGTTTTATTATAATTTAGTTTGTTGCAAGGATTTTACAGTTTGAAGAAATAGAAAATTACACCATTTGCCAAATGTCACAAGGATGTGCATGACAAGGAAGGGCTATATGTACTGCATGCATCAATTTAATAGTTATCCTGCCATTATGATTTAAGGAGAGCCGGTCCCCTGAATGCTGAAATTAGGACCAGTATCACAGATTACCAGTCCGAGCCTGAGTACGGGTGAATTACAGAAAGTGGATGGAAAAAAAAAACTGAGAATGACAAGTAGTTCAAGTGCTTAAACTTGGCAACAAATCTACTGGTGGACGGCTTAAAACTTAGACATAGTTGGGTTTTCCAACCACACCAGGGTCCCAGATTTGCAACAAACCATATTAACATTAATAAAGCAGATTAATTCTAATCAGTTAAAGCTAATCAGTTAGAGGGGAAAACTATAATCACTATTGCTTTGTTGAGAAATTAAATAATGTCTGTTTGTAAACATTTACATAGTCAGTAAAAAAAAAAACAATCATTCTGAAGAACTCTGCACTTACAAAAAGAAAAAAATAATAATCAGGGCTACTACTAATTATCTCTAAAAAGCAAAATACTACATGGAAATTAATAACATGTAAAACAATAAAAAAGCATAGGTGAGCAAATGAATATGTTGTAATGACTAATAATGATAAGATCATGCTAATTACCAAACATTTTTTCTGAAAATTAGTGCAGCTGTTTGGTCAAATCAATGCAATTCAGTCCTCTTTGTATTAATTACTTATTGATTATTAATATTTAGGTTTCAATTGGTAATATAGATTAATATTGCTGCCCAATGGCTCACAAATCAGCCTATGCCTTAGAATATGAGTGGGGCTCCAACTGAGAACCTCAAGATTTCAAGCTCTATGCCCTAACCACTAGGCCCCCACAAGCAGTGCTAAGTTTCTTTCCAAAGAGGTATGTTTAAAGATATGACCATAAGTGTATTAGAGAAAATCCTAAAAACATAAAAACCTGCATTACTTGTTTGTAAGAATTACTAGATCTGTATGCAGGATATCTAACAACCATATTTTCAGGCTCTCTATGCTGGATATCTGATATCTTTGACGATATCTGGTGACACTTATTGCCAATGCAGCATAAAGGTTATAGAGGGGAGAGGGTGCGTTTTATGGGAAAGTCGTTAAGAAACAACAGCTGCATTGTTACAGTGCTGAGACAGAAGGCTTTTATAAGGCATTTTATTTTTTTAATAGAACCTTGCAGATGAGATAATGCATAGTGCATTTTTCTTTTTTCACCAGTTGTTGGGTAGAATTATTATCATTATGGGTAAATTTCTGCTTTGTATTCAATGTATGAACACATTAACACTTTTTAACTATTTCTTTATTTATTGTAATTCGCATCATTATCCAGTTATTCACAGATGTTATCGCTGAGCTGCCACTACTTGGATGTTAGATGATGCAACTGCCCAAGCCCACCTTTTGCAGTCTATGCTTTACCTGTCACTTTGCAGGAATGCTTCTGTTCGACCCTTCCGGTGTTGTTATCCTTCTCTGCTGGCCACTGGTAGATATAGAGAGCTGTGTGGGAAGAGCCAGCATCGAGCACAATGCCATACTGAGTGGAAAGAAAAGGAGGAGTTCCTGTTACATTGTGTGACATTTGTTCTAAAAACAGTTCCTTCCAGATGTGCCATTTTGAGCGTCAGATGTAATGGTTGCATAACCACTGTATAAACATACTAGAGTTACATTCCCAGCGCATTCAAGTCTGACAAAAAGGAAAAGAGCCATTAACTCACACCAAGGTCATTGTTATCAGGTAGCCTAGAAACTCAAACTCTTCCTTTATTTCTGACCAAATAAAACCCAAAACAAGGAATTTATTATCTTATCAAAGTCTGCTGGTTCTATTTGCATTTGGATTTCTAAAATCAATAGTACAGATTGACAAGTTGGGGTCAAATTGACTGCAAACCATATAAGGCAGGCTGATTTTAGGCTGTATAGTTTCTCCAAATACAGCAAGTTCCCAAATATAGCCTTAGCAATTTAGAGTTTATCTTTTTTAACATACCTTGTACTTTTGGAGGAGAGGTCTGTTCTGCAAAACTGCCACCGTCACCAAAGCAACAATCGCTATGACGCCAATCACAGTGATGATGATGGTCAGGGGTGTGTACCAGGGGTTCTTCTCTTTCATCTCTGAGAGCGGGGGCGGAAATACAGAGAGAGGGACGGGGCAGACAGGTAGAAGCCAGAGGGTGAAAAGAGGGAAGATAGAAATAAATTGGAAATAAATGAGGTCTGGGAGAAGCGTTAGCCAGTCTTGCATCCAGATGTTGGTTAAATCACAGTTTGTGGGAGTCTGTAGGAGGTTGCGTATTGTTTTTAGTTGTTTTGTAACCAAGGGCTGCAGATGGATTTCTGACGCCGTGAGTCTGAACTCCTGCCAAGCTCTTAATTTATTCTTTGGGAGGGGATGTTATCTCAAACATCAAACATTTCCAACCTTATTCCTCTGAAGTATTTAGATCATATAAAATGAACAGGATATCCTCCGTGAAAAAGATCAGAGATCTCGTTTTGGTAATAACGCAACTGTTTATATAGCAGAGGGAAACAGTTGGCTTTGATACAAATAACTTTTTGTAGGCTGTTTTGACTCACATGGACATTAGGCTAAGATATGTGTCAGCATCAACAGGCAGTAATTCCTCTTATCTTGTTCCAGATAAGAATTTCTAACAGGGTATGATCGGTTGCTTTTTGCTAGTTCTCTCTTCCTTCCCTTTCCCTTTAAAGCCCTTTCCACTGTCTGTCTCTAATCCTGATAGAAAAGAGGAAATAAGAGGCTAAATTGGTATGGTCTGATCTGAGATGCTCATGGTGCAAAAAGCTCCACCAAGAAAAAAGTGTCACTGTATTTGAATCCTTTAACTATTTTGACTATTATCCTCCATCCATCTGAACAAGTATCCCGGGTGTGGCAGGTCTCTGAAAGCAGCTCAGAAATCCCTCCACCCTTGTGACCCTCATGTTAATTCTCATAATACATTAATTTAAACTACTGAAAAATAATCGGAAAAATAAATGTTATTTATAGTATTTACAACATCTTACAAATGTTATTTATAACATTTCTTTGTTTGGCTACACATTTTTAGGCACAATATAAAATAAGATCTGAAAAGAACAGTTCCATTTCTGTCACGCTTTATCCCAGCTGGGTTCGCGAGGGAAGCTGGTGCCTATCGCAAGCTGTCTACAGGCAAAAGGCAGGGTAAATCCTGGACAGTATGCCAGTCCATCGCAGGGCAACACAGAGACAAACAGGAAGAACAACAATTCAAACACACGCTCACACCTAAGGAAAATTTAGAGAAGCCAATTAACCTAACAGTCATGTTTTTGGTCTATGGGAGGAAGCTGGAGTACCCGGAGAGAACCCATGCATGCTCAGGGAGAACATGCAAACTCCATGCAGAAAGACCCCGGGCCGGGAATCAAACATGAAACCTTCTTGTTGTAAGGCAGCAGTGCTACAAACTGCGTCACTGAACAATGGATACGTCACAGTTTCTCACAGAAAAGAATATTAATTTACATAAACTACGACTTTCACAAAACATATAATTTCATTGACCATCCGTCTCATTTTAGATAGTTATTACATCTCAGCTGTGGATTTAGACTAATAAGAGTGATAGGGGAAACATGTTGAGTTTGCACAAGATGACTGCTACTTGAAACAGGAAAATTCATCTTTCTTGTAACCTGTGAATATTTTAGTATACTTTTTTAGCCATTTGATTGGTAGAGGTTAGGGAAATTTGAGCTGTTTTATCTATTTTTGTATACAAACCATTGTTATCCCATTTCTATTATGTTCCTGTTCAGAGCAATAATGTGGCTATGCTCGCTTACTGATTTGACATAGAACAGGTTGAGTCGTCCAATTATCAAAACTCACAGATTTATGGGCAACATAGAACTTTGAATAACGCACACAGAGAAAAACCTGCTTACATATCAAAAACTGGCAGACACCATTCACTTGCAAATGACAGCTGTTAAAGTATACTATCATACCGCCCTAATGTATAATACAGAACTATTATTAAAGAGGAGCTTATCTGCTTTGCTGCATCAGCAAGACTTAAACTGCTTTCATAAACCGGACCCGTATCCACACAGAAACTTCAGAACCTGAAAGTATATTGCAAAGCAACAAACCAGCTAGAAACACAGAAAGAGGGCACTTACCTCTGTTGTCAGTGAACTTGGAACTGATAGTGAGCAGAGTGGAGTGAATGAGAAGAGGGAGGGATGAGAGAGATAGAGAGATAGAGTGTGAGTGAGAGAGAGGGAGCGAGAGAGAGATAGAGAGAGAGAGAGGCAGAATACAGAAGAGAAAGGCAGAGGAGGGAAAGGACAATGGCAGAGAAGACGAGGTTTCCCTCAGTGGACAACAGAGTTTAAGAATACAGCTCTGTTAGTGTGCTGCTGTCGGAGCAGCCTTGCAGCTCTTAGTTTGGCATTTCCTCTCCCAGCTGGGGTAGTAAAACTGGTCACTGTGGAGACACAGCTAAAGCGTGTTTGTTGATGAGAGAGTGCGCGTTCATGTGAGCGTGAACCCCTTAAAAGTTCTCTAAGCTAATGAGGTCCACATGCTCCAGCAGCAAGTTGTTTAGGTGGGAGGGGAAGCGGGGACTCCCTTGTTTGGCTGGGCTTTTATCACTAGCAGGCTGTGATGTCATTACAGTGACGGATTGGAATCCCCTGCTTTTATCCCTGTTTGTATGTGTGTCTGCATGTTTGTGCAGACTCAAAACATGACTTGCCTGCAGATATGTTGTTCTATTCACAGATGTTCTCTGTTTATTTCCCCCCTCATGCCTCAAAGCTCATGCTGAGACATGCACTGGAGAATGTACAGTCAGCTTGTCACTTCTAATTTATCTTTCCATAAAGGATTAAGAGACCCACATTTTTTCTGCACATTCACACTGTCGGGAAATCAAGTGAATGATTCCTTATTCTTATTTTAAATCCACTCACTCATTTAGCATGTTGGAAAATGCTCGAATTCTTTTATTCTGGGATAAGAAGTATCTTTTAACTTAATGTATCATCAAGTTATATTTATAACCAAAGAAAGACCCTTAGCTTTGGAGTTTCTTACAGAAAACACTAAAACCTAAGATTCTTTGTCTATATACAGTATGTGCTGATCCCCTTGAGAAGCTCTGGTATTTTTGTCAGATGGTGTATTTTTTCCCCCTCTCATCCACCCCACACACCAACTTCCTGTTTCATTCCAGACTGCTTGCATAAAACTGTGCTCTTGGCCTCTATCTTAACTTTTAGAAACTTTGAAAATAATAACTCAGCAATGATTTTATTTTTCAAGCAGGTTTGCAGAGCTACAGTTTTACATTTTAAAAGACGAGATGCAGCATGTTTCTGAAAGGTAACCATGATTCTGCAAAATTTGCAAAAGTAATGAGCTGAACTTGGAACTGGAGTGACTCACTGTGGTATGATAAACTGAAAAGATGGTAAAGAAATGTAACATTTATTTGGCAGATAAAAATGTGATAATATGATATATCTGATAATGTATTCCATAATTAAACTGATTTAGATTTTCTAACTTTAGACTAGGAAAGAAACACAAAGCTTAACCTTGTAATGAGACAGTGTTTGTTAGTTAAAAAACCCGCTGAGCAATGTAGTCTATTTTTTGAAACAATATGTCTCATTTAGGGAAATCCAACCACAGTGCATAGTCCACCCTTCGCTGGGCTTTGTCACAGATTGTGAAAAAAAATAAAATAAATGATACTTTAGTTCCAGCTTCGGCATAGACCTTGCTCTACTCAGTACAAGCCTTTCATGGAGGAGAATAATTCGCTGCAAGTGATAGGATTCACATTATATGAACAATGTTTCATTGTGCTTAAACAAGTTTTTTAATGAGGTTGAGTTAAAAAAAATATCATAAGATAAAATCACCAACCATGGTTCTCCTGGTTATAGCCTGTTTAGACCATTTTATATATAACGACTTAAAATTGTCAGGGTGTGGATTCAACTATCCAAGTATTTGGCATAAATTATACAATTGTATTTTAAATAGAATTTCCCAGTAGGAAAATTTTAAATACTGCGCAATATTTGCAAATATTCTAATGACTATAGTAGTTGTGCTTTTCTCTCTTGCTCACCTGTGCTTCCTAAACTCTGTGACCTTTGGTACTCTTAGCAAAATTAATTTGTGTTTGTAATCATCTGCTGTTAAGAGATTCTGTTCAAACTGGCTAAATAATATATCTGCATATAAAATGCATCTTGGAATATCTTAGCAAACATAAAACAGTCCTTTCTAATATCAATATCGCACATGTTGACATTGCAATAATCGTATAGTTTATGATTTAATGTACATGCTTGTTGTTTTCTGTGAGGGTGCAGTAGGGCTGTACAATATTGTTGAAAGGAAGGGGTAAAGAAAGTAAGTTGAGGGTGGACCAATGGGCTCTGTGAATACTGACAAGATGAATGTGGATATATTATCCTTGTATGTTAAATTAATATTTGTCTAAAACCGCATATTTTAATTCAAGCTGTGAAAACAAGATCTTGCAAGAATCAAATATTTATAGTTCACTGTAATCCGGAACTACTAGGATGTCAATTCGGTGTTAAAAATTCAGTCCACCTATTTTAGTCTAAATAGATTATTTACAATTACAGTATATTGAATATAAATCTGCTCAAGTGTTGGAGTTAATATTCAGTGTAAAATCTGACAATGCAGTGTCACTTTTACTCTTTATGGTGTCGATTACCTACCAGTCTCTGAGAGGTCTAAACTAACTAAAATAAGTTAAATTAACTCTGAAAAGATGAAACTTGCTATAGAGTAATTTTTACACTAATTTGGAGTGGGACCAAATGTTTTCTGAAACATAAGTTCATTCAACTCTGTAAGTGTTAAAGTAACACTTTGTTTTTTACTCTGTACTTCAGCGCAATCACTTTATATCCATCAACTCCCACACAGGGAAAAAAGGGTTCTGCACAGCAATGTTCACATTGGTTCACAGTACACTGAGTTAAAATAGCCAATTTAAAAGTGTTAAATAGTTAAAACTGTGATATAATTGGAACAACAGCCTTAATTTAAACAGTCGTAATTCAACACTTAGCAGGTTGAATTTGAGCGGTGTACATGTGAGAGGTTAACACTTTATAATGTGTTGATTTGATCTAACACTAGTTTGTAATGCAAATGTTTGACACTACACATTAGTGTTAATCTTTTACCAACACATTACCATACTGGAAACTGTGACAGAAGTGGAGCTACAGCACACAGGCACCACTGGGGCCTCTACAACCACTAGTAGCAAACCTGGGTGAAGTATCTTGCCCAAAAACATGACAACTGACACAGACAGAGACGTAAGTCGAACTAGAGACTTTCCAGTTGTAGGATTAACATCTGCATCCTTTGCCACCCTCACCCCATACAGACAAACATTTAGGGGCCTGACCTGTAGAAGATTTGCACGTCTTGAAACGTAAAAATGTGTTTGTACAAGGTGAGATCTTCAAAGAACGTACTGTACAAAGTGAACTGCGATTGAAATTTAGCTAGTGTGTGGGAACCTTTTATAGCATACTTGTCGTCATCAGTATGCAGATCACATTCTGATAACCAAACTGTGAAAATTCATGGGTGGAGGACATGCAAGTGTTAACATACATCATGCTCAAAGCAATTTTCCTAATCTTAAACTCAGCTGCAGCAGAAGTTTTACGTCTAACCCTACCTGCATGCTTTTTGACCTCCATCTTGCAAGATCACTCTTGTCAGTTCAATTGTGAAATGCAACAACAGTTCCTCAAACAGCGACTACAGTTTCATGCTTGTAAAAGAAGCATGAAACCATCTATGTTTTCCATTTGTTGGCCTATTTTATGTAGCAGCTCCTTTTTGTTGCACATTAAAATTGTATAAGAATACATTTATATTTATTTACCGGTGATGTAAACATGTCTTTGTATGAATAACAGTTTTCTACCATTCCAAGCTTTATTGGAATACAAATAAAAATGTATTCTGAAAGTAGTAAAAACGTGAAAATCCCCCTTCCACTCCTCCTAAAATATTCAAACTGCATAGTTTTGTTTTTAAGTCCATACAAACTAGCATAATCTGCCTTTCTGGTAATAATGCTTGATGATACACAGACACGCTCTCTGAAGCTTGTTGAGACAGAGAAAATGTCTTAGTTAAGCAGGAGTTTTAGAGCATGAGATCATTAAGTGACTCTCTTGGAATATCCGCAGCCTTCGGGATACACCCACATATTTAAGTTAGTCTTTTTTATCCCATAATACATTTATCTCTCTATTAATTCCAAGTTACCAGAACAGTCCCAATCCTGGCCTACTTCAAGTTTTTGTAATGAGTCTCAAATGGAGAAATTTCCAACGACATAAATTACCTTTTTTTTTTTTTTTTTATTAGTTTCAGAACACATTCTTCATCAAACACACACTTGGAACAGCATGCCACTATGCTTTCAATTTCTTACCTCTTTGTTAACAAAAACTATAGTCAACTTAAGGTTAGCATGTCTCTAATGTTTACATCAGCAAAGAAGAGAAGAGCAGGAGAAAAAGAGGAGAAAACATGAATCAGAAACCTGGAGTAAATATTTTGACAGTTTTGAGCCAGACAAGTGGTTAAAACTGAGTATTAAGGATGTGTGTTCAGCTTTAAATGACCTTTTTACTGCAGTGACCATAAGGATAATGTAAATGACAACATATCTTTAGTCAAATCCTTACACAAAATGATAACAGTGTGCCACATGTCTGCGGTAATCCCTAAATGACGTGTTGTAGCTGTAGAACCGTAATTCTAACATTTGAAATGTCGGTAACATATCACATGCAGACTACAATTAAAATTTGTCATCACAGTTAATTGCATCACATTTAATTACTCAAACCAACTGAGACTTGCACACACATGCAACCAAACATCCAAATAAGGTTCTGCTGACTTTGCTGCTACATCTTCTGGCTCTATTTGCCTGTAGGGAAGATATGATGTCTGGGAGAAGGACGATGTTCTAAATACTATTCCTTTAGATTCTGCCGTGAGTCAAGGGATGACAGAGCTGCTTATCATCAGTCTGGTTTCATTATGGGAGGAAGTCTCGTGTAAGTAATCAAATAAAGTATGCACTTTGACTAAGCCACTTTAACAGCTTCAGAAGCTTTTTTTCTTTCAAAGGGCAGAATTTGTAATTAGTAATCAGTTAGAAAAAGTCATTTTTTGGGGGTGTTGCAGCCTAGTGGTTAGGGCATAGAGCATGGAATCCTGAGGTTCTGAGTTCGAGCCCCACTCCCACAGACTGCCACTCTGGGTCTCTGACCAAGACCCCACATTGCTC